TAACCTTTCCCTGGCCGCCTCCAACCCATTGCCCGCTCTGCTCTCCCTCCCCCCAGGGCTGCAGAACATCCACCACCTGACGCTGAAGAACCGCTACGAGCTGCGCGTGGACCTGGAGGACTTTGAGAACAACACGGTCTCGGCCAAGTACTCAGAGTTCGCCCTGTCACCCAACGCCATCAGCGCCGAGGAGGACGGCTACTCCCTGCACGTGGCCGGCTTCACTGACGGCGGAGCCGGTGAGGGGACCCAGGCATCTGGGCTCCAAGCTTTCTCCTTGCTCTCACCCCGCTCCCAGAGAGCCCAAGTGTCCGGGCTCCCCGTGCCCTCTGCTCCCCCCCACCCCTGGTCAGGAATGAGGGCAGCAGTGGTGGAGGGGGTTGGGAGTAAGAGGCACCGCTATAGGGCAGCTGCGGGTCAGGAGCGAGGGGCACTGCTGGCCCCACACTGCTGAGAGCTATGGGTTGGGAATGAGGGGAACCACTATGGGGGGGGGTCGGAGGTGAGGGGCACCGCCATAACCCCCCCCCCCCTGGTTGCTAGGCGACTCGCTGACTTACCACGCGGGCCAGCGGTTCTCGACCTTCGACCGGGACCAGGACCTTTATGTGCAGAACTGCGCTGCACTCTCATCCGGAGCCTGGTGGTTCCGCAGCTGCCACTTCTCGCACCTCAACGGCGTCTACCTGGGCGGCCCCCACCTCTCGCCTGCCCACGGCCTGCACTGGGCCGCCTGGAAGGGCTTCCAGTACTCACTGCGCCGCAGCCAGATGCAGCTCCGCCGCCTCTGAGCCCCCCCCCCGCCCGGATCGGGCCCCCGAGAGTCCCCCTGGTCCCAGGATCAGGCCCCCTTGATTCCTCCTCTTCCAGGACCAGGCCCCTTTGACTTCCCCCAGTCCCAGGATCACACCTTCTTTATACCCCCAGCCCAGGATCAGGCCCCCTTAACCGCCCCCCCATATTCCAGGATTGGGCCCCTTTGACTTCCCCCAGCCCTGGGATTACACCCCCTTGGCCCCCAGCCCAGGATTGAGGCCCCTTGACTCCACCTGTTCCAGGATCAGGCCCCCTTAAACCTACCCCATTCTAGGATTGGGTCCCCTTGACTTCCCCCAGCCCCAGGATCAGGCCCCTTTGACTCCCAGCCCAGGATTGGGCCCCCTTGACCCCCCTCCCTTGCAGGATTGCACTCCCCTGAACCACCCCAGCACCAGTGTCACGTCCCCTTGAACCCTCCATGTTCCAGAATCAGGTCCCCTTTTACCACTGCCCCTTCCCAGTCCAGGATCAGGCCTGCTTGACCCCCCTCATTCCAGGATCAGGCCCCCTTAATTCCCCCCACCCCCTGTCCCATGACCATGATCCCACCCACCAATGCAGGATCAGGTCCCCTTAAATGCTCTGGTCCAGGGTCAGGGACCCTGGACCCCGCCCCTTAGCTCCACCCACTAGGATCCGGACCCGTTGACCTCCCCCTGCCCCCCTGGCCCAGAATTGGGTCCCTTCATGACCTAAGACCAGGCACCCCCTTGACCCCAGCCCCAGGATTGGGGTCTCTTTGCCCTCCCAAACCCCCTCTCTGAGCCCTTCAGTCCAGGATTGGGCCCATTCATGGCCCAGGATCAGGGCCCTTCTGACCCCACTCCCTTAACAACCCCCCCTCCCTGGATCGAGACTCCTCTTAGCCTGCCTTCTACCCCCAGGATCAGCCCCCCACCAAGGCCCAGAATCGAGCCCCTCCCCCCAATAAACACTGCTCCCTTCCCAGAATCCTTTCTGCTTCATCCATCAACTTCCCCCGCCCCCAAAGAACCCAGGCATCCAAGTCCATTCACCAGCTCCAACCCCGCCCCCTCCCTTTAAGCCTCACCCCTTCCAGCACAAGCCCACATGGGACCATCCAAAGCCCTACCCTTTTCTGGGTTTTCGGGGAGGGGAAGGCAGTGGGAGCAAGGGATGCTGGGAACCCAGACACCTGGATTCTCTGGGGTGTGATGGGGTGGGAGTAGAGGAGGCTGGGAGCCCCAGACACCTGGGCTCTCTGGGCAGCTGCTGCCACAGGGCTCTTGGGTGTCCCCTGCTGGTGGACGATGGCCACTGCGGGAGGGGCAGGGGGGAGAGGAGACCAGACCCCATCCCCGCATGGGGAACCCAGGTGTCCGGGCACCCTCAGCACACCCCCACTTGATCCCACTTCTGGGGCAAAGAGACACACGCACACGGGACCCAGGTGTCTGGGACGGGGACACACACACACACCCCCCCGCCCCATAAGCTCCAACTTGGGTGGAAAATGGCAGATTTTGGTCAAAACCTGGGCAACAAAACCCGCCCTAATGAAGCACCAGCTGGTGTCTAATTAGAAAGGACTTTATTCTTGCGTTGGGGGTTGTTGGGGGGGGGGATTTGGTTTTGCATTAAATAGCCTTAATTAGGGGACGGGGGGCGGAACTGGGGGACTGGGAGCCCAGATGCCTGGGTTCTCTGGGGCGTGGGCATAGGGGAGGCTGGTAGCCCTGGATGTCTGGGTTCTCTGGGGTGGCGGGGGTGGGAGCAGGGGGTTCTGGGAGTCCAGACTCCTGGGTCCCCCAACTCAGGGCCCTGCCAGCAGTGGGCAGAGGAGCAGCAGCCCCCACAGGGAGGGTGCCAGGGCCCAGGGGGCGGTGCTGGGGGGCGGTGCCTCCATGACCTCCTGGATCCAGGGGGTGAATGCGGCGACGCGGGTGTAGACCCCTGGGCGCCCGGGGCGGGCGCATCCCAAGCCAAAACTCACAACCCCCACAAGGAACCAGGCCCCATCCTGGGGGCAGGCCAGGGGCCCTCCCGAGTCGCCCTGGGGAGAAGGAGGATCCTGTCAGCCCAGTGCTCCTCACTCCCAACCCACCAATCCCCCACAGTGGTGCCCCTCACTCCAGACCCACAGCCCCCTCCCATAGCAGTGCCCCTCACTCCCCACCCCAGCAGTGCCTCTTACATGGCAGGAGTCCTTGCCCCCGTCAGCATAGCCCGCGCACACCATGTCTGGCTGGACCAGCTTGTAGCCTTCTGGGATCTCGGAGGACTCGGAGCTGGAGTTGGCCTGGTAGAGCCAGTTGCATTCGTCCACCTCGATCAGGGGCAGCTCCACCTTCTGCAGCGTCCGGGGCAGGAACAGGCCTGGGGAGGGGCCGGGCTGAGGACCCAGATGTCCAGGCTCCCTGCCCTAGTGAACCCGGATGTCCGGGGGTGGGGGCACTCACCCTCAGGCACAACGCTGCCCCAGCCAGTGACCCAGCAGGCTGTGCCTGGCAGGAAGGGCTGGCCGGGCCGGGGGGTGCAGATGGGCAGGATGGTCGGGGTGAGGCCCACGGGCTGGGCCAAGCGGACCAGGGCCAGGTCGGCACTGAGCCCTGCCCCCACAAAGTGGGGGTGCACGGCCACCCCTGCCACAGGTGCCAGGATGGCCTCGGGGGGTGGGTGGGACAGCTCCAGGGCCCCCAGCTCCACCTGGTATTCGCCGGGCCTGATGGGACTGCAGAGGTGGGAGAAGGGGTCATTAGAGCTCTACAAAGGGCCATCATCATTACAGCACCCAAAGTGGCCCAAGAGAGCCAATCATTGCCCCACGGTTCCCCCTGGTGGCCACACACAGCTCCTGGTGGTAGCTGGGCATGATGGGACAGTGGAGGTTAGAGAAGGGGTCAGTAGAGCTCTACAGAGGGTCATCGTCATTGGAGCACCTCCTAGTGGTTCAAGAGAGCCAATCACTGCCCCACGGTTCCCCCCCCCCGGTGGCCACACTGAGCTCCTGGCAGGCGCTGTGCATGATGGGACTGCTGAGGGGTGAGTAGAGCGCTGCAGAATCACTGTTATTACAGCGCCCCCCAGTGGCACACTGCTGGTCCCATGGTGCCCCTCACTCCCGACCACCGCACTCACCCCTCGAAGCAGTGGGCAGCCGTGAGGACCCATTGGGGGGCCACGAGGGCCCCCCCGCAGATGTGGAGCCGATTGTGTCGGAGACTGACCTGCCACGGCCACTCCCCAGCGCGGGCATTGGTCCCGCCCACCACGCGGGCTGGATTCAGGGCCAGGTTGGGGGCTGGGCGCCCGCAGGCTGCAGGGGAGATGGGAAGAGAGAAGCATGGACGGGGGGACGGGGGGTAGAGAGAAGAGGGGAGCGGAGGTGGATGGATGGATGCATTTGGCATGGATGGCTTGCAGGACCTAGATGGATGGACAGGCGGACGGGGGTTATGGAGATGGATGGACAAAGAGGTGTTAGGTGGATGCATGGACGGCGGACGTGCCATGCAAGGATGGACCACCGCCCCCCTTCGTACCTGCCTGACCCGTGGCCTCCTCTGCACCTGGGGAAGAAGCAGACAGAGTCAGCAGGGGGACGCGGGAAGCAGTGGGGGCGGGGGTCCAACCCCCACCCAGCACCCCCCAGCCATGCCCATGTCGGCCCCAGCTGCGCCCACCTCTGGGGTGTGGGGTGGATGAGAACCGGGCAGGTAGAACAACGCAGCGTGAGGCCAAGATGCAGCCAGCTCTGGGGCAGGGGACATCTAACGCCACATCTAACACCCCACGAGGGTGGGGGGTGGGACGGGATATGTGGAGCCAGAAGTCGGCCCAGATGCCTGGGTTCCTGACCCCACTGTGAGCCCTGGAGGGCTTCAGGGGATCCGCGTCATCTCGGGGAGGGGTGGGAGCCCGGACGCCTGGGTTCACTCACCTGCCAGCAGGGTGAGCAGCAGCAGGGCCGTCAGCGGGGGGCAAGGACCCCCCATGTCCCAGGTCCTCTCCCGTCCGGCCGGGGTCCCAGGTGCGTGTGCCCGGGGGAGGGGCTGGCTTTAACACCCCCCCTCCCAGCAAATGCCCGGCCCCAACACAATGGGCCAGCCCTGGGCCCGGGGCCAAGGTGGACACCCAATAGCCCAGCTCCTGTCCCAGATACACCAGCCACCCTCCAGGGGCCCCTGCCCGCAGTGCCCGGATGCCTGGGTACTCCGGGAGGGGAGTGGGGGCTGGAGGGCGAGAGCAAGGGGGCATTGGGAGCCGGACGCCTGGGCTGTCTGGGAGGGGAGCGCGGGGGGTGCGAGAGCAGGGACTCCGGACACCCGAGTTCACTGGGAAGGGGGTGATGGCCGGGGGGGGGCAGGTCAGGGTGGATGGCGACACCCCCCAGCCTGGCGCCAGCTCCAGATCTCGTCTCTCTCCTGGGCCCGGTGCCCGAGAGAGAACAAACTGCTCCTAACAGGTCGGACACCCGAGAGGCCTTGAAAAGCTGCCGACTTGCCCATGCCCCCCCCACCAGGCTGAGACTGGGGGGGCGCTGGGTGCTGTGCGGATCCCCCAGGCCGAGAGCGGGGGGCGCTGGGCAGATCCCCGAGGCGGAGATTGAGGGCGCCTGGCACTGTACGGACGCCCCAGGTGATTGGCAGCGAGAGGCTGGGGTGTGGGTGCTGTGGGGCGGAGACCATCACAGGGGTGGTGGTGCCAGCTGAGTGCCCGGGACCTTCCCCTATGCCAACACTCACTCCCCTCTGGGACAGCCCAGGCATCTGCGCTGCCAGCCCCCTCTCTCACCTGTGGGGTGCAGCCCCCCGCAGCTCCTTGCCCAGCACCAGGTGCCCACGGTGGGGGTGGGGGCCATATCCAGATGGGGCAGGCGCGAGCCGGGCGGGGTACAGCCTGTGCCAGGAGGACCACAGCCAATTGGCATCCTTGTTTCCCGGGTCATAGTGGGAGTCAAGGACAAGGTCAAGGACTGCCCCCCACGCAAGGGGTCCCGAAGGCAACTTGATACTCAGCTGGGTCTTGGCTCGTGGCAGGAGAGGGAATAGGGGGGCATCAGCTTGGGGACAAGTTGCGCCCAGCTCTGGGGTGGGGGCAGCTGGGACCAGCAGCCCAGAACACAGCCCAGAGATGGGGGCCTGGCTCTGGGGTCCCCCCATTCGATGTAGTGGGCAAGCGGTCCAAGAGGAGGGTCCTGGCCCCCGATGATCTCACTGGACACGGCCCAGGGATTGGCCGATGAAGCAGAGGACCCAGGAGTCCAGGGTCCCAGCCCCACTGTTTTCATCCTTAAAACCACCTCATGGGGAGAGCACAAATGCAGCCAGCTCTGGGCAGGGACAGCTGAGGAACGCTGCCAAGAACGAGTGCTGGGGAGGGCTGAGAGGCGCCCAGTTCTGGGGGGGAACAGGTGACCCTCGCACACACCTGGGAGACCTGGAGAACGGGCACTGGAGCCAGGAGCTGCATCGTGACCTCGACCTCTGACCCCAGCCCACCTAGCCCCTCTGATACTGTCCCCCCAGGGCAGGAGCAGGGGTAACGGGTGACACGCCAGGTGCCAACCCTTACCCCACAGCTCCCATGAGCCCTGGGGTTATGGGGCTGATGGTATCAGGGCCTGGATACCTGGGTTCCCTGGGCTGGGAGCCCGGACACCTGGGATCTCTGGGGCGGTTTGGGGAGTCAGAGCGGACAGGCTGGGAGCCCGGACCCTTGGGTTCCCCGGGCTGGGGGAGGGAGGAAGGGAGAACGAGGGGATCTGGGGAGCTCAGACACCTCCCGGAGAACCCACTTGTCCAGGCTCTGAACCCCCAAACTCGCCCCCCTCAACAGCACCCCCTAGGTAAAGGGGTGACTGGCCAACCCAGCCCCCCTAGACTTAGCCTGGGGTCCTGGACCCCCAAATCTCCCCTCAAACCAGCCAGGGGGTCTCCCAACCCCAAACCAATCTCCCCCCAGACTTAACCTGGGGTATCAAACCACTTAATTGCCCCCCCCCCATCAACCCTAATGAGATTCTGGACCCCCAAACTTGCCCCGAGTTGACTCATCTGTGCTATGGGGAGGCATGGGGTACCCCAGAACTGCCCCCTCTTCCCTTCTGGGAGGTGGGGGTAGCGGGGTGGGTGCCCACGCGCCTGGCAGGGGAACGCGGGCAGCGAGGACGAGCTCAGCTAGCTCCAAGGGCTTCCAGGACGAGCTTTACTAGCTCTAAAAGTTTCCAAGCCCTTAGAAATCATGAATTCACTGCCTCAATTGACATATGCAAATCAGGCTGGCTCTGCTCCCCACCCAGGTCCTGCCCACACAGGGTCTGAAGGGGGATTTTAGCCCAATCAGACTGAGCTGCTGCACTGTGAATCCAGCTTTCCAATTCCCCAGAAATAAATGGCCTCTTTTGGCTCTATTGAGGGAGGTGAGGGGGAGGCCCAAATATGGGACCAGCAAAATGTTCATTAAATGGTGGTAATTAAAGGCCTCGTTAGCACCCAGAGTCCTTCATTAGCCTTGGGCAGGGAAGCAGGGGGTGCTATAATAGGAGGAGAGCCAAGGTGCAGCCAGGTCTGGGGTGGAGACGGCCACGTGTAACAGGGCAAGATGAGACCCGAGAGGCGCCCAGCTCTGGGGTGAAGCCCACGAGGAGGCTGCCAGCAGATACCAGCCTGGGCAGGGCCGAGGCACTGGCTCCGTTGGCTTCCCTCACCCTCAGGGACCAGGGGGCGAAGATGCCGGGGAAGGGCAGCTCCTGGGAAGACCAGGGGCCGGCTGGCCGCGCTGGCCAAGTACCAGGTGCCATGGGCTGGGCAGGACGGAGGCCCCCGGCATCCCTCTGGGGAGGGGGAGAAGTCGGAGCTCCCCGGGGCGCAGGTGGGTCTGTACAGCACCTAGCGCAGCCCAGTTCTGAGCTGGGGGGTCCATAGCGTGCCTGGTCCCCCTGATCTCGGCCGCAGGTGGTGGTCTGTACAGCGCCAGGCTCATGGGCTGGGTCTCACCTTGTAGATGCCCTGGTGACTGTCCGTGTAGCCGGCGCAGGGGCGGTGTCAGTGATCCAGTCTGGGCCCCCAGAGGCGCCTGCTCACACAGCTGCTCGCACTGGGGCGGCCCCGATAACAGAGACTGGGGTTGTCGTGGTAGATCAGACCTGTCGGGACCAAGGAGGATGAGGGGAAGCCCAGCCAGGTCCAACAGAGGGGGGTTAAACCTGCAATGGCCGGGCTCCCAGCCCTGCCGTCCCAAACTCGGGCAGCTCCAGCCTGTGGCCCAGCACTGGGTGCCGGGAAGGGGCTGGGGGCTGCAGACCGCAGGGGGACGGGGCGGATTCTGCCCACCCTCCACGCCAGAAGCACCGGGGCCAGGTCAGCCCCAAGGTTCAGTTGGGGGGGGGGGTGCAGATCCCCATTGAGACAGGGACTGGACGGCGATGGATCGGACAGAACAGCTAGGTGCCTGGGAGGACCTAGTGCTGAGACGTGGGTGGATCTGGGGAAGGAAAGATGAGGGGACAGAAGGGGGCTGAGATGCAGCCAGCTCTGGGGAGGGGCGCAAGAGAATGAGGTAACACTTATTTTGGGGGCGGCCAGAGAATATGGTGATGCTTCTTTGGGTGGCATGTGACAACTGAAAAAATACCACGTATTTGGAGGTGCATGGTAGGTGAGAAATTACAGTGGAGTCTGGTGCTACTGTATTTTCTCGCCTATTTGGGGTCCTGGGGTGGGCCAGAAAATAGTCACACTTAATTTAAGGGGCATACAACATGCTTATTTAAGGGGGTGTGATAGGTAAGGAAATATGGTAACAGTGGGGGCTGCCTGGCAAAGCAGGAAGATATGGTAACATTTCCCAGGGTGTGCGGAAAACAAGAAATTATGGTAACACGAATTAGGGGGCAGTGAGAAATATGGACACCCTTATTGTGGGTGGGTGTTATGTCGGCTACACGATGCAGTAATACTTATTTGAGGGCATCTGGTAGGCTATGTTATAGGGGGATGCTTATATGGGGGTCTGTAGCCTAGAAAATATGGTAACACTTATTGGGGGCACTTGATAGGCTACACTATAAGGGAATATTTGTGGGGGGTCGGTAGCTTAGAAAATACAGTAACACTTATTAGGGGTGCTCATAGGCTACAAAATATGGTCACACTTATTTGAGGCCACTTGGCTGACTAGAATATAGGGGGAATGCTTATACGGGGGGCCTTCACAGGCCACAAAACATGGGAATACTTATTTGGGCGGGTTGTAGGCTACAAAATATAGTAACACTTATTTGAAGGTATTCAGCAAGCTACAAAACAGAGGCATGCTCATTTGGGGGGGATGTCTGTAGCCTAGAAAATACAGTAACATTTAAGGGGTGGGGGAGAGTTTGTAGACCACAAAATACAGTAACCATCACTGGGGCATTTATAGACTGTGAAATATGGTAACTCATCTGAGGATATGTGGTAGCCTACAAAATAAGGTCATGCATTTGGGGGGGGGGGGGGGTTGTAGGCTAGAAAATACAGTAACACTTACAGGGGCGTGTGGTCAGGGGAAATACGGTAAGGGCCCGGCGGGCTCTGGGGACTCGGTGGAGGCTGGCCAGAGTCCCCAGGCGTCCGGGCTTCGGGGAGCTTGACTGGGGGAAAAACGACCTGAAGAGAAATCAACCCCCACCACGCAAAAATACTGACCTGAAACCACCCAAATCCCCCACAAAAATTCACCCCAACCCCCCAATCCAAAACACCCAAACCCACCCACAATAGCCCCAAACTCCACAGCAAAACTGCCCAGATGCACTCCCAAATCCCGGTATGCTCTCCAAAACACCCAAAGTATCCCCAAACCCTCCTAACCTCCCCAGATCCCCTCCCAAAAATGGCAGATCCACCCCAAACCCTCCTGAATCCACTCAAAACATCAATACTCACCCAAAAAGCCTCCAACCCACTCCTAAAAACCCCAGATCCACTAAGAACCCCCCCACACAAGAGCTCAAATCCACCCCAAATCCCCAAAGTTACCCAAGGAGCCTCACAAATCCACCCTAAAATGCCCCAAACCCACCTAAAAAAACCCTCCAAATCTACCAAAAGAAATCCACCCCCCAAAACATTCAAGCCAAAAACCTCAAATCCACCCAAAAAAACAAGCCCACCCCAAACCCCCAACCAACCCCAAGCCCCCATCCACTGAGACGACCCCCCAAAACCCCCCCAACCCCCCCACCCCCCCGCCAGAAAGCCACCAAATCTACCCAAACCCTCCAAAATCCGCCCAAGACATCAATATCCCGAAGAAGCCCTGAATCCACCCACAATCCACTGAAAACCCCATAGCCATCCCAAATGCCTCCGCATCCATCCAAAACATCAATATCCACTCTCAAAACCACCAAAAACCCCAAATCCACCCACACCTTCCCCCCAAAACCCCAAATCCACTCCAAAAAGCTCCTGTATCCACCAAGAACGCCCCCCACCACAAATCGCATATCTACCCCAAAGAGCCCCAAACCCACTTAGGAAATACCTAAATCCCCCCCCCCAAAGCCCCCATATCTACCACAAACCCCAAATCCACCCCAAAAAGCAGTGCATCCACCCAAAACCACCTCCAGATCCACCCCAAAACCCCCAAATCCCCACCAAATCCACCCCTGAAGCCAACCCCAACCCCCATCCATAAAAATCCATATATACACAAAAAAAAAAAAATCACTTAATGCACCCCAAGCCCCCCTAACCCACCCCAAAAGCCCAAATCTACCTTGAAAACATTAATATCCACCCCCAAAACCCCTGGATCCACCCCAAACACACCCTATAAAGCCTCTGTACCCAAAGTTATCTCAAATCCACCCTGGTCACCCAGTGCCCAAGTCCACTTTAAAAAAATCCCCAAATCTACCCAGAAGACCACCATCATCCACCCAACCCCCCAAAATTC